TTCCTTTCTCATTTTAGGAGGTCAGGCTACCCTGATCCTAAAGCCAGATGCAGAAAATGACAGCTTACAAGTACAGGTGTAAAAACTGTCAACAAAATTCAGCACTCTGAACCCTGTGAATAGGACTATAGACTACACCTATGTGGTACGTGGACTCACACCACAGGGAGAGCAGAGCCATGCAGCCCCTTGACCATTCTGCCTCTTGATGAGATTCACTGTCTCTTCATGGCAGAGACACTGGGAGAACAAAGAACTTTCTGAGCACAGCGGGGACCCTCCTGAAGTAGTAGAGTCCTCCATGGCAGAGGGCCAGGCGCTTTCTCTGAGGATGAAGAGACGGATGCCCGCTCTCGCCATGTTACTCAGTGCTGTGTTGGATGTTCTAGCAGCAGGAATTAGCTAAGAAAACCAAGACAAAGCGAAAAGCATCCAGGTCGGAAAGAATTCAAACTTTCTGCTCAAGACAACATGGACTAATGTATAGAAAATTCAAACAATCTGTGAGAGAAATGACAACAATAATAAAATGTACAGAAATTTAACCAAGGGCATACAAGACTTGTATATTGAAAAGTGTAAAACATTGCCAAGAGGAACAGAAAAGGACCTGAACAAAAGCAAGCTGGACTAACAATTACAGTAAGATGCCAATGCTTATTAATTAGATGGCAATATAATCACTTTCAAAATCATTCAGAGTTGGTAAACCTGACCCTCCAATTCCTAAGAAATTGCAAAGGACCCCAAATAGCCAAAACAGTACTGCAAAGGAACAAATGTGGAGTTCTTTCCCTTCAAAATTGCAAACATGATTATGGTTCTGGCTTGTAAGCATACATACAGACCACTGAAAGAGAAACAAGAGCCCAGAAGTCATCCATGACCAACTAACTTTTTGCAACAAGGATGCCAAGGCCACTCAAGGGAGAAAGAACAGCCTTTTCAACACACTACGAATAATAAATAATAATTCAAAATGGAACAAATGACTACCTTTAAGATGAAAATCATAGCTGGCAGTGGTGGTGCACACCTTTGATCCTGGTGCTTGGGAGGCAGAGGAAGGGGGATCTCTGCATTCAAAGGCAGCCTCATCTACAGACCAGTTCCAGGATGGCCAGGGCTATACAGAAAAACCCTGTCTCAAAACAACAACAATAACAACAACACACAAAACCAAACGGCAGCAGAGAAAGTAGTAAAGGCAGTAAGGGGAGAACATGGATAAACCTTCCGGCCTTGGACTGAGCACAGGCTTTAGAAGTGACAATTAAAAGCACTAGACAATAGGAACACTCAAATTTATCAGAACTAAAGACATTTTATGCACCAGGAGCTCCAAGGAGGCTATGAAGGAACGCTCTTAAGTGCTTCTTCCTCTTTACTCAATGATGGGAAATTCCCACCCTAACAGTACAGGGACTGTTAAACAAGCCCCACCTAACTATGGACAGATGGGCTTGAGAGCAGATTATTGGACATGTGTCCTTCCACCCTCAAGAAAGAGGACACTGCACACTATGACTAGGGGTTGCACTCAAGAAGGAGAGTGAACAATCAGAATTTTGGGGTACAAAAATGACAGAAATGTAACCCCAATCAACAGTATTGGCAGGTGGAGCCTCTTCTTGAAGAGGGTGGGGTCATAAGGACTCTGCTGTCATGAATGGATTAAAGTTATGGCAAAAGGACTTGACAGGAGGAATCAATTTTTACATGACTTCCATCCCGCCCCGTCCATGAAAGCACAGCTTCCTCCTGTCTAGAAGATGCAGCAACAGAAATGAAAACAGCCTCAGTGAAGAGAGGAAAGGTCAGGACCATGACCCTGAGCTTCCCAGCCTCTCCTTGCACACCTGCACACACAGGCACACACACACACACACACTGCTATAATAGCACAGATTAGACCTGGAGTCAGTTAAGACAGACAAAGGTTGCCGTATCAAAAGATGGAAGTGAGCCCTGGCTCCTGAAGTAGGGTGTGATTGGTTCTTTCAGCGCCTCCATGGCAGGTGGGAACTGACAATGGGGCCTCTGCTCTAACAACACACCCAGGCACATAACATTGGCTTTAATTTCTTATTTAAACTGTAACAACTCATAGAATGAGAGAAAACACTTGCAAACCACTTATCTGATAAGGGTCTCCTTTCCAGAATACATAAATAACAACTTAACAACAAAAATAAACTACTCAATTAGAAAATGGGCAATAGATAAGAGGAGACATTTCATCAAATAAGATATACAAACGGTTCCTAAGCATTAAAAAAAAAAATCCAGTGGGGGGAAAAAAAGCAGGGTTCCGTTAGGGAATAAGAAAGCAAACCCACAGAGGGCAGGCTTTACATCTGGGAGTGTGGAATGCAGGGCTGCCATGGACAGCCCACCGGGGCTTCCTCTCAGAGTCAAGCATGACTCAGCAACCTCACAGGGGTGGAGGAGAGAACTGAAAATGGGCATTCAAACAACCATGAGTAAAATATTCAAAGCGTCAGTACTCATGCGAGCCACAGGTAGAAATAACCCAGACGTCTATCAAGAGATGAATAAAGAAACAAGATGTGGTGGTGTACACACTCGCTGGAAAATTATTGGGCCATAAAAATGAATGAAGTTCAGCTCTGCTTCAGCATGGACACATTGAAAACATTATGCAAACCGAAAGAAGCCAGGAAGAAAAAGGTCACATATTGTATGGTTCCACTTATATAAAATATCCAAAATAGGAGAATTCATAGAGACAGAAACAGATTGATGGTTGCCAGGGACTGAGGAGGGGCAGGGGTTAGGGAGTAGCTGTTTAATGGGTGCAGGCTTTGCTTTGGGCTTCAGAACTACAGGCGTGCTAGCTGCACAACACTGAAAATGGACTAAAATACCACTGAACACTTAAAAACTTGAATTTGGCGTTACATAAATTTCAAATTGATTTTTAAAAAAGATCCAAGAAGAAAACTACCTCATGTTTCTTTTGTCAAATATATTACAGGCTCTTCTTTAACGCCTTATGGTTTTAAAACTGGTCTCAAATCAATCTCAACACTGAAAAAGATACTGATGTGACGTATTTACATGCTCCTCAGCTAAAAGGCTTGCTTCCTTCAGACATACCCTTAGATATCTGAGGAAGACTGATTCCCACCCTCTTTCATGGATGCCAGAACCCATGATTCTCAAATCCCTTATAAAATGTCATGGTGTGTGCACAGAGCCTACACACACTCATGGTATGCTTTAACGCGTTTTTAAGTTGCTTCTGAGTTCTACTACCTGATGACTGCCCCAAACCTAGCAACTGCACTGGTAGGGATACAAACCAAAGAATAGAGTGGGTACTCAAGACACCTGTAAGTAAATATTCATAGCAACACTGTTTATTAGTGGTTAAATAGCTGACTGGGGCTGGGGATTGCCCAGTGGTTAAGGACATAGACTAACCCTGCAGGAGTCCTGAGTTCGGGCCCAGTACCCACATCACGCAGCTCAAGGTCGCCTGCAACACCATCTCTAGTGTACCTGACGACTTCTTTTGACCTCCACACAACACGCCTCCACACACACATATACACATAATTAAAAATAAAAAATCTTTTAAAGTTTTACTGTACTGTTTAGAGTATAACTGTACATGCTCAATACAGACACAACTGCCTCCCTCCAGTACCTATAATGGAATGTTGGCTAGCCAATGGACGCAGAATTCACAAGTACAGAGGGAACACATACTGAGGGCTGACCAAGCTGCTAAGATCCCTCCTCTCTGCACAGCTCGCTTTACCTCTAAAGACAGTGGTGCTAAACTGCTTCCAAGCTCCCTAAGTATACAAGGCAATATCTAATTTTTCATGTCATGGAAACAAGATTTCTTAACTAGGACAGTGGTTCTCAACCACATTATACATCAGAACCTCTAATAAAGATTTAAATATTACTCATATCTGAGTGCCACTGATGGAGTCAGGATCTCTGTGGACAGGGTCAGGAATCTAGGGGTTAAAAGCTCAGTTTTTAAGGCTCTCAAAATTACTTTAACCTGAAGCCAGAGTTGAGAATAATTCATCTAGAATATTCCATATTCCCATTCCTTGTGTGGCCACTGGGGCCTTATCCTGGTCCCTGCCCCCTCCCCCGTTTTGGTTCTGACTCCACCTCCCAGGTGCTGAGGCTGCTGGGATTACAGGTCACATACCAACCTTACTCTGGTATTTTTAAAATGCCAATTATTTATGTTGGAAAGTAGTGTGTTTCTAGAAATTAATGCACTTGGCTAGAGTTTCCAAAATATTGGTTTAAAGTTGTCTGCATGGTCTCCTCACTTTCTGATGCCTGTATGTGCGTTTGTGGGGTTTCTCCTTTCTTCATTCCTCAATCTGTCTTTTTGCTTTTCTTTCTAAATTCTCCCTTACTGGCCCTTGAGCACCGGACTGTTTTTTCAAAGACCAGGCCTTCTGCTTGCATTGCATCACTCCACTGTGAGCACCCTGGCTGCTCCCCACTCTGACCGTCACTATCTCCTTCCACTGATTTCCCAAGCTTCTGCTGGCCTTTCTTCAGCTGCATCACCTGAGACTTAGAGAAGCTACCTTTGAATACCTTTTCTGATGTATGCACTTAGGGTGTGAACTTCCCTGAGCCCAGATACAGCTATGCTCCACCAACTTTGACGTGCTACATTCTCACTAACGTTCAGTTGAAGTTGTACACTTTCTTTACGGTTTCTTCTTTGAGCTGTAGGCTATTTAAAGTTTATTTACAGTGTTGAGGATCAGACCAAAGCTTAGGAACACGCGCCACGCACTTCACACTAGGCCCATGTCCCTGCTGCACAGTTTGTTTCTGAGTCTTGCCATGTTAGGAGGTGCACTTCACAAAGGTCACAGGCCATACAGAAACTGTCCTCCATTAGATGGCACTTCATATTTCCAGCATACTCAGCATGTCACCCATGTTTCCAGTCACCTTATATTACAACACAAACAAAAGACACTTACTCTCGCTCCTTTTCTGTCAGCTTGTCATTGATGTTATCTTTGATTGTTGATCGGGACCCCTTGTGAATTATGGGATACCTGAGGGGTACTTGTAGGAAGAAGGAGATCATGGAGACCAAATGTGCAGTGTAACCAAGGGCGACGGCAATGCTTCCATCATCTTTTGCTGTGAATTGGAAAACAGAGGAAAAGAATACAACCTTTTACCTTAGAGATGTAGCTCTGAGGAAGTCTTCTACAAATATGTGGTAAGTAAAATATTAATCATCCACTAAATTATGTTAACTTATGCACCTACTAACTATACGTAAAGCTATCTCCCAGGGAGCAGTGTGCTGGGTCAACAAGTGATAGGCGTCTTATGGTGAGTTCTTAGTGTGCCCGAATAGCTGGGACTTTCTTTCAAATGCTTTTAAAGTGAGACATTAACACTTGAGTCTCTGTGATCAGTCAGAGGTTCTACTGTAACAGAGTCCAAGTACTGTACAAGATTACTCATTCTGAAGTGAACAAAACCCTACACCATCTCCTTACAAGGTGTACTTCAGATGCTGATAAGGACAATACTGCACAAAGAAGCCTGGGAAACTTGAGATGAGTCAAAGGGGAAATAGGCTCCACAGTGAAGTGAATGCCCTGCACCGTATTGTTCATACACCAACCTTGTCATGTAACTTATGTGAAAGTAACGGGAGGGGAAAACACCTGTCATATAAACGTAAGCTTCTGGCTTTTAAAAAGCTACAATTATATTCTAAAAACTCACCATTTATATTTTTACTCCTACCTATCAGGTTATAAACTATTCAAGTTCTCAGAACTCGAGTGATGCAACGAAAGGATTCACATGTCCCACCCAGCATACAATGTTCCTTAAGTACCTTATAAAGATTTAACACAGGGTCTGGGGTAGCTGGCCATGGAGAGAGTCTAAATGATGACAGGGACTGCGCTCACTACTGCCTGACTCCTAAGGACACCTTCAACTTCAGTTAGTAATCCCGTTTTCATAGTGTTCCATTTATGGTTTCAGTATCTGTATAACTAGCTTTTCTCGGCAGGAATGCACCCCACCCTTCCGCAGTGAACACGGAATGCACCCCACCCTTCCGCAGTGAACTCTGCTCCTTGCTTCTCTTCGATCATCCTATAAACACATACTATTCACTGCTACTCACTTCATTCATTCACCAACAAATACTAAACTGGACTCACCTTTAGTATTGTTCTCATTTATCTTAGAGATTAAAATAAAAACAAAACAAAAACTAAGGCTCAAAGAGACTAAGGAACTATCCCCTAACAGCTGGTAAGTGGGCCCCGATACCCAGCCCTCTGTCCTTGCACTCTCCCACACTATCACAGAACCTTGTTAAAAAACAAACAAACAAACAAACAAAAGACAGTATCCACTCATTTAACTTGGAGTTCTAGGATGTAGCCGGCACTTGAATGCACCATCCCAGTGCCTTCACAGTTTTGTACTAAAGGAAAAGTGCACGTGAAAAGTCTGTGATGGAGGCTGGAGGTGGCTCAGTGGTTAAGGGTCTGTGCTGCTCCACCAGAGGAGCTGGATTCATTTCCCAGCACCCATATCAGGTGGCCCACAACCACATCTAATTCCAGCTCCAGGAGGAGCCAATGCCTTTGGCCTCCTTGGGTAACTGCACATATATGTACATATCTATACACAGACACAGTTATACATACATGATCAAAAATAATAAACATAAATCCTTGTAAAAGATGTTTGAAATCCCCCATTTCTGTAGTGCTTCACAAAAAGGCTTCACAGGCAAGACCTGCTGTCCTCTCCAAATCACCTCAGGAGAAAGTAGAGCAACATCCACTTCAGGCGACTATGGGGTCACTCCTAATTAACATCCCAGGTATTTTCAGGGAGCATGTCCTCTTCCCCAGGCACAACCAAAAACCTTATTAATAATTTGCCTCTGTAAAAACCTTTTCATCATACTATACTAGCAACTAAAAGTACTTACTTTTATGTGTGTGCACATGCAGGGATGTGTGTCTGTGTGTGTGTGTGTGTGTGTGTGTGTGTGTGTGTGCAGGAAATTAACCCTAGGTGTCATTTCTCAGGAGCTGTCTATCTTGTTTGGGGGGGGGGGGCTCATTGATCTGGTTGAGTTAACCTGAGTCTCAGGGATCCACCTCCCCACACTGGGGTCACAGGCATGCACTCCCACATACAGCTTTTTACATGGGAGCTGGAGCTTGGACTTCAGTCACCTTGCTTATATGACAAGCATTTTACCAACTGGGGTACTTCTCCAGTCACAAAAGTAATTTAAATGATGAATTCTCTCATAAGAGAAATCTTAGATGACACGTAATGCCATCAATTCCCCGAGGGCACACATGAGGTCCAAGTGGGTCAGCTTGGTCAAAATCATATCAGTAAAAGCCACCAGCAGTGGAAAGAATGGGAAAACTGCTTCTTAACTAAAATAGTTAAGGCCTAAAAATATGCTGCTCCCCAAATATCTAAGTCTGGAGTCCTGGCTGAGACTGGGAGAGCCTTCACAGTGGAGAACTCAGCCTTCCTCTTTCTAGAATGAGCAGAGCCACCAAACTAAAAACATTCCTCAGAGTAAAAGGACTTGTGTCCAAAGAACCTTCTTTTGAAAGGAGAGGCTTCCTACCATGAACTTAACACTCAGCCTGCCCTTTCCTGTATAACCTGGTAGGAAAGGGGTTGAAAATTCTCAGGAAGCAACAAAAATGTCTTTTGATGAACCTTCTAAAAAAGTCAAATACAAACCACTAGCGGTTAATACCTCAAGCATCTACATGCTTCTCAAATTACTCACAGGATAATGGTAAGGGAACTTACGTTTGCATGTTTTTAGACTACATATATAACTTTATTGAAAGAACAAAGACTTGATCTCACATCACCTCCCCAGTGAGCAAAACCAATTTTGCTTAAATGTAAACCTAAAAGGGAATCTTGAAGAGGGTGTACAGAAGTGAAAGCTCAAAGGAAATGGTGGACAATAGTTAAGTAACATTGGAAACGAGCTTCAGCTGAGGCTGTTCATGGTCACTGCTGTAGCCACAAGACTCCTGCTCTACCTATTAAACACCCTGCGCTGCTTCCCAGGCCAGGCCATAGTGCTCCACCAGCCTCACAGTTAAAACACTTTGGTGTTGGATTTCCAATACTGAAGCTTTATATTAGAAAGCATTTTAAAGGGATCACGCGTGGAGTCTTACAGGGCCCAGGGGTATTTCAATCCCTCAAAAGGAAAACCTCCTCCTGGGAGGGAAGTCACTTTCATCACCCTAAGACCACTGAGCCTCCAGTGGGAAAATGTGAGCGCATGTGGTTAATCATGGCGATTGCAGGCCATGCAACCTCAGATGTCACAGTCTGCTGCCAATAATTTTAGCTGAAAACCAAAAGGTTTACGGTTCCCAGCATTCTGAGATCTGAAAGATATTTTACTTGACAAAGCCAAAACACGGCCCTCTGAGATGTGCTTTTCCAGCAAGCATTAACGACGTCTGCCACACCTAACACAGAGCAGAGGTGTGGGTTTCCTAAGCTACTCTAGGGAGTAGAAAGGTCACAAAATGACACTTCTGCTGTTAGGAAGCTGGAGGGTGGAGGATGGCTGGGAGCCATGGAAGGAACTGTAAAACTGAGCTATGTGAAATGATACTAATTCAACAGTGTTTGAAGGGCTTGAAAGCAAAACAAAAAAGCCACAGTTCCCTTATAACAGGTATTTATGATTTATTTTTAAGATATAGAAAGCCATTCAAAGCTAGAGCTTTTGTGTAATCTTTATGATAAAAATTCGCACACACAATAGCTTCACAAACAGTATAAATCAGTTCAGCGGTCCTTTAGTTCTGTGTTGGACAAACTGTTCCTATCGCAATGCATCTGAGCACAGTGAGTGATCACAAAGCTCTTACCATCCCGCCTTCCCAGTCCCCGTGGCAGCTCATCTGTTAAAGGACCGAGCACCCTCTCTCAGACAGGACAAAATAGTTAAGACTCTAATCAGTGCCACAGCAGTTATGGAGTCATTCCATGTTCTCAGTGAAACACTGTTTGACATACGGACTCTCCTTTCCAAGAAACCATGCCTGCATGAAGGGACACAGACACAAAGGACACCTGGGTCTCATTACCACAAAAGGCTCTCGTGCTACGGATTACTTAAGAACACTCAAGCACAAACATTGGTTCTTTTCTTTTCATTTCTCTTTTTTAAACTAAATGTCTCAGTCAATGGAACTCAGATGAGCACTCTTCTCTGGACCCTTTCCTCACATTGTGTCCAGCTCTCGCTGGCACGCTGTAACAATAACTGACTTACTCAGAAAAGCATAATAAATACAGAGCCCCTAGTGGAGTTCCCCAAGCACCACTGACCCATGTAGTGTTAATCCGTATCTCTCACAGGCTCACAGACAACATGAGAAAACCCGCTGGAAGCTCCTCTCCTAGAACCTCTCCCAGAATGCACTGCTATAGCACACTAAAGTCCTTGGATGCTCAGGAGGTCATTATTAAAGACAAGCACGCTGCATCACCACAGGAATAAGGAGGGCCTTAGATTCAGGTACATCAGTGGTAACATTAAGCTTTGCCACTAGTTAAGGTGAGTTCTTGGATGGAAAAATGTTTGAATTTTTCAAAGCCTCAATTTTATTTTATTTTATTTTATTTATTTTATTCTCCTCCCTTCCTCTCTCTCACTCTCCCTCTCTTTCCTTCATTTCTTTCTTTCTCTTTTTAAAATTGAAACAACAAAACAAGGTAGTTCTCTATCCATAATAGTAATTCTCACAGAACTAAAATAACAGCATAACAACAACAAACAAACATTACTCTTGCAATTTTTGAAACAGTCTCATGTAGTGGAAGCTGGCATTGAACTCCTGATCTTCCTGCCTCCAGCTGTTGGAATTACAGGCACTCCATCAATATCTGGTTGATGTTGCTGCATTTCTACCCACCCAACTTAAATCACCCTCTTATCCTTCTTTCAAACATTCTCTGGTTCTATGAAGTAGCTTTTATAATCCCCTTCCAAGAGAACTATTCCCACTTTTTTTTTTTTTTTTTTGAGCCTCTGACATAGAATGTATTCAGTAACCACTTTCTTGCTTGGCTTATTTACATATCTGTTGCCCACAACAGAACTACAACCTCCCTAAGGCCAGATCAGTGCCTTAATCCTCTCTGTATCCTTTAGAACCTGGCAAGGTAGATAACAAACATGGCATCTGTGCTGCTATACTACGTAAGTGTCCTGCAGAATGTGAACACAATATAGCTAGCGTATATCCTTCTCAAAACTTCTGACTCTAGGGCTCTCAGGGAGTGGACTGAACAGGGCCTTGGGCTTAAATTAAATGATCGCTTCATTTTATCTCCTATTTCACTCTTCATCAACTTCACTGACGGGCTACTGTGCATCTTTTAAAGGACTGGAGAATGTATTAGGCTTTACTAAGCATTCAAAGTGTGGACAGCTATGGAAACCATGAGAAACAAGGCACTCCAAAGAAAACCGAAGTAGAACCAGAAACCTTGGGTAGACCAGGGTAGCAGACTGCCATGGACATCATTCCTGCTCCGACCAGGCCGTCCATTCCCTATTTAGCACCAGAGAGACGACAGTACAGCTCAGCTCGTGCCTCAGCCCCTCTGAAGCTCTTTTGGCACTGGCCACTTACTGAGAATGAACCAGAACCCCCTTCCAGTGGCCTCAAGGCCTGCTGACCTCTCTCCTCTCTCTCTGACCCTCTCTTCCCCTGCTGCTTACTATATTCCAATCATATAGATCTGATCTTCTCTCTCCTTCCCTCCTCTCCCTTTTGCAAGTAATGCCACTTAAATTTACTGACAAGAGGTTGGGCCGGCTCTCCCACACTCACACCCTTGGGTTGGCTTGCCTTCAACCCCCACATTCAGGGCCAGCTCTAGCACCTGCCATAGGTGACAAAGGGCAAGAGCAGGGGAGGGCACAGACAAGTTGCAGGGCCAGCAGTCTCACGCTCAAACCCTTGAAGGGCTTACCAGCATCTCCACTATTAGGGTCAGCTCTACTGTGCTGCCCAGGAGATGTTCAAGGCCTGCTCTCCCAAGTTCTACAGCAGGTGAGGGGCAGGGCCAGCTCTCCTGCCTGTCATAGGTGGCAAGGGGTAAGAAGACATCTCTCACTTGCACATGTCACTACAGGGCAGACAAGTGGTAGGTACAGCTCTCCCACGCTCATGCCCTCAAGGTTAGCTCATCCGTGTCCAGCCACTAGGATAAGCTTTATTTGTGCTGCTCAGGTGAGGTGCAGGGCCACTCTCCCAAGTGCTATAACTGGTGATGGGGAGGGCCAGTTCTGTTCTCATGACCTCACAGTCAGGTTTCCCACATGCTGTAGGTGACAAGAAGCAGGCGAGAAGAAGGGTATCTCTCCCTTGTCCACATCACTGCATGGGAGAAAAGTAGTAGGGCCAGCTGTACAGAGCTCATACCCTCAGGGTCAGCTTACCCTCAAGTCCTCCAAAGTGAGGGAACTGTTCTCAAGAGCAATTAGCAAATACAATTTTAATTATCATTTTAATTTATGTGTATGGGTGTTTTACCTGCATAAGTCCGTGTATCATGTCTGTGCCTGATGCCTATGGAGGTGCTGTATCTGGCTGGTGAGGCATCTCTCTAGCTCCAGTAAATGCTTTTTTAATGAGTGAGCAAGAAAAATAATGCACCATGGGCTCTAAAACACCACAACTTTGCATAAAATGAACACCAAAGTGTACCCTTTGACTGAAAGAGGTGTGAAGGCTCAATGTACAATGGGAAACAGCTCCGCCCTGCTCTGCCCTGCCCCGCCCTGCTGCTAACGCCACTTCTCCGCCTTCTTTTGGCTAAATAAGCATTAAAGATGAATCAAAACCTCAAGCTTTTATAGACACTGGTGTGTCCCAGTTCTCACACCAATGACAGAAGTCTGACTGGAAAATAACGCAAACATGACATGGCCTACAGACCTGAATCCTGATAGTCTCTTGGCTATCATTCTCCTTATACCATAGCCCAGCCATCCAGGTGTTTTGCAGGCAGATGGGGTAACTGAATAAACGCCGCCTGAGTGTTTCTGACCACAAACAGCAATATTCTTCAAAGGCAAATGGAAGTATGTCCTGATGGATACTAATGACACCCTCCTCTCAAGTTCTGTGGTATACACTGGCTTTTCAAATACTCTACAAGACATATTAGAAGGCATGCAAGCAGCATTTAGGCTACAGGGGAAAGTAAGACAATTTATTAATAATGAAAATAGTCTCCTGGACTGGGGAGAAGGCTCAAAGGGTAAAGTGCCTGGTGTACAAACACGAGGCCTTGAGTGCAGATTTCTGACACATACATTAAAATATATTGTCTTTGGTATAAAAAAACTAGAAAAGATTTTAAAATACAGGAAATATTTGGAATCTGAAATCTGTAATCCCTTTAATGTAAAAAAAAAGTGAGAAGTCAACAAATTAAAGTTATGTTACATGGAAATACCCAGGGTTAAATCTCAAACACTTTTCAGGACGGTAACAACATGACTCAACAACAGACAACGTCTGCTCTAACCTCGTTCCTAGCTCTACAGAAATTTTCACAAAAACCAAGAACAAAGACCGGGAATTACCAGTCTGCTATCTGAAGCCCATGATTATTATTATTGTTATTATTTTAAATTTCAAATAAAAGGCTCAGTAATTATTTGTTCCAAGATTAGGCTAAATGTTTTGTTACATTTACTACGAGGGAAGCAGATTCTATGTACTTCTAACAGGGAATGCACAGAAATTCTAAAATCCCCTTTGGACAAAGTACTGGGTATCCATTATCAGGATAACTCTATTCCCATACATATTATATATACCAAATCCTTATAATTAAAAAAAAAGAAAGAAAGAAAATACCTTGGAAATCCTCGGAATTAGGCAACTTGACACCACATACAAAATAATCCTTATGCTCATTCTGTGAATTTAACCAAAGAGTGAAATTAATTCATTGTACTAAAAAGCAAAGCCACTAAGACAAATCCAGACTCCAGCAGGTCAGTGAGTTAGATATAGAAGACGGCCCAGGCTGCATGGTGACTGGCACACTACTTTCCTGGACTTTGTTATGCTTGACATTTTGATAGTAAAATTACATGTGTGTTATTCAAAGAAAAGGGCATATGAAAGTAACATCATAAAACATCTTCTTGCCAGACATATCTATAATCCATAATCCTAGCACTTGGGGCATGGCGGCAGGACTAGGAGTTCAAATTCATTCCCAACTGTTTGAAGAAGCTGGAGCTACATGATATCTGTTTTTAAAACAAGAAAAAGAAAACATTCTGGCTAACCCATATTCATTCCATAAACAATTTAATAAGATTCTAGGAGCAAATTCAAATTCTATTAGCTTTTTCTCTGAAAAATCAGTTTACTAAATTGATAACCATTAACAAGGAAGCTACCAAATTTAGGAGACTTGATTTTCTAACTAATAACACACTCAGATTTACCTCATTATCACCTTTTATATTAAGAAACTGCATTAAAAATGTAATGTCCTGACAGTTCCCTCAGGAATACCTTAATGAACAAATGCACATAGGTCACTGAGCAATTATATTTTAAAGCAGCATATATACATCAGAAAACACATCAGAAATGGTGGATAACTGGTTGAATTAAAAGATTCTGAAGAAACCAGAAATAATTTGGCATTGTTTCTGATGATATGAATTCACACCATCAAGCTGATAGATAAGACAATGAAACTAGGGGACTTTTTGAGACCAACTAAATGTTTTGGGGCAGGGGGGAGGAGGGAGGGAGGGAGGGAGGGAGGGAGGGGGAGGGGGAGGGAGAGAGAGAGAGAGAGAGAGAGAGAGAGAGAGAGAGAGAGAGAGAGGGGCATTCCCCAATACAGCTTGTCTACTTGTCTACCTTGCTTTTGAGACAGGGTGTGTCAATAACACCTGAGGCTTGATAATTGGGTGGACTAGCCATTGAGTCTTAGGGATCCTCCTGCCTCCACCTCTCCAGCACTGGGACAAGAGTGAGCCACCATGCCCAGCTTTTCACTTGGGTCCAAGGGATGGAACTTGGGTCTTTGTGCTTGGATGGGGAGCACTTTCAGGGTGGAGCTCTCTTCCCAGCTCTGCCCACTGGCATCTTGATATACTCTTGAAATGGATACTAGCTCTTAAAGTTCCCCTGAATCATGAGAGAGCATGCAGAGTGATGACTTTCTCACTGAAAGGAAATTTCAAGAAGAATCATCTTTTCAACATTCCCCCCCCCCTTTTCAGGAATTTGAGACTTACCAGATCAATAGGGTAAATGTAGGAAAGCTCCGAGAGCAACTGCCGGCAGCGGATGGTCAACTGAGCATTAGTCTTCAGAAAGAGCTCCCTAAGGAGGAAAAGGCAAAGTATATTCATGAAAAAATTATGTTGCATGCTTTCTAACACTTATTTCTACCTAATTAAACCACAGACAATTAAATGGTCTGTAATTGGCTAGAGAATTTCAGAAGTGGAGGCAAGAGTGATAGCCTGACCTGTTTCCAACATTGCCAATTATGTTAACTTTACACTGTGGGCTACTGTATGCCCAGCACTGTGCTAAGAGCTATAAAGAATATAATAACCAAATACCCATGCCAGGAGTGCCTATTACTACATACCAGGAGCACTACAAGTGCTTGCTCAATTATTCCATCAACCACAGTGAGCTATCACTATACCCACTAAACACTTAATAACCAGTGACTCAGGGAAGCTGATTTGATTTCAGGATTTGATTTATATGGCATTTCCTTTAAAAAGGGAGGGGGGAGAAAGAAAAATAAAAGTATCCTTTTACAGCTACACATTATAATTGTCTCAAGAAACAGTGTCCTGTGATATCAGAAAAATAACAAAATAAGATGAACAGTTGAGCAAAATCCCAAGGTGTTGGGTAAGATGAGCGCTCACCTCCTGATCAACTTTAAAACCGTGGCCAACATAAAACATCACAGAGTATGTTTCCTGTGTGTCTTAGGAGCTTAAAAACAGAAGGGGTTTAAAAGAAACTACAGGCAGAGCAGAAGGGAAGGCCTCATGCTGCTGCAAAGGGCTCTGTTTCACCAGCAGATGTGCTAGACTGCTTGGGTCTCTAACCACAGCACCTAACACCTTTGGAATTTTCTGAATAATGGGGTTATTTTTTTGTTATTCTTGATAATGCCTACATGATTAGGGCAATGAGGTGAGCTGCAGCAGACATTCCAAGGACAGAGCGGGTCACTGTCATGCCTAAGGAGTAGAGGACTAGTTTTCAGCTCTACTCACACCTCCTTCCATGAAAGGCTTAGAAGGGGCTGGAAAGCAATCTCTGTATCATTTCTAGAGGACAAGGCCTGATGAGCGTCATATGGTGAAGAAACCTAGAAGATGGCAAGTCTACAGTGGGCACAGAGCCACCTCCATCTGGCAGTTTATCTGTATCCTTGACAATCCTTACCATAACCAGTAAACATCAGTGTTTCCCCAAGTCTGTGAGGCCCTTGAGAAAATCGACAACTAATTGAACTGAAGGAGGAACTTGTGGGAACCATCATAGCTGGCTGCTAGGAAACACAGGTGTCAGTCTGCAGGAACTGTCAGGAAGTATCCAGCAGGGTCAGAAGTGAATTAAACCATAAGACATATAGGTCTGCTTATGAGAAAATCTAGAGTCAAAAATGTTGTCAAGTCAGCGTGATGGAGAACACAGCTTTACTCCTCCTGCTTGAGGAGCACGGGACCCTTGGCGGCTCTGCCAGTGAGCTGGACGGAGACTCTGTGGAGCTTGGTTTTCCTACCTGCAAACTGGGGAATAAGAGCAGATGTTCTCTGCTTTGTCCTAGGTCTATGAGTCCTCAAAGGAAAATGCAGAATGACAGAGCTTACCACAGAAGGGAATGAAGGTAAGGGGAGAAACAGAGGTGACTAGGAATTAACGTTCAAGGAGAGAAAAGCTATTGTCATCTTATGTTGAGGGAAAATCTAAAATAAACTATAGTTGTATAATGCTAATTTGTTGAAGGGTATCTGAAAATTAAGCAAAGAATCACCATATTAAGAAGAGAAAAGTATGGTAAAAAATGGTATTTTAAGAGGAACTCACTGATAGCAGCACTGGGGTTCGGCTGGAAAGCTGGAGAGAGAGTGCTCAGAGCAATGTTCTAGGTACTGCAGAGGTCATCAAAAGTGATATCAAGAAGCAGAAGTCTGAAGAAAGCCAGCTAACTACCTGAAGGGGGCATGGAAAAGGCAGGAGAGGAGAGGATGGAAATATCGGCCCCATACTGTGGCCTGGGTGATGAGGAAGTTGTTTCTAAATTCTTTCATGGCGCAAACACACAGTGGGTCCTCACAACTCTCCGCTGAGTAGGTGAATGGGGTGCTGAGACACACAGGATGTAAATTAGTTGCAGCCTTTTAAAATGCTGCTATCCCAATGTTCCTATAAGCTTAAGGCTCAGAGAAGCTCTTCTCAGCTGCTTTTACCTTTTGGCAGTACACTCCTTCCTCAGCTCACTCAGGGATTCCTTCTGCTGTTGAAGCTTGCCATGCTCAGTCGAAAATGCACTTCCTACAAGGGGAGATGGAAGGAGACAGGACAGATGTAATACTGCAGACAGAATGCTCAACCACATCGACACACGCAGAGGTCAGTCTCCTGCCTGTGATGACCTGACAGAGTGGGCAGGCAAGTCGCATCAGTATAGAGGGTTTGAGATGGACTAACAGGACAAGGTGCCATTGGCTCGGCTTACATTGGTCCAGCGCCCAGCAGAAGGCAAACAGCAGGACTCTCAGACTCTGCAACACAGGTTTCTGGACACTGACCAAGAAACCTTTATGAGACTTCAAAATTCAGACTTCACTCCTGAAAGACTGGTTAACTTATTTTCAACCACAAACTCTCTACATAACATTACTGAGAATGTAAAATGTAGAACAGGAAAATTACCCACATTTTGATGGCTACACTACAGTTCATATAGCCAGTTTTATGAACTTTCATCTTGCTTGTATATATTTTAGTGAAATCACAGGGCACAGGCAATGTGCGTTCAGATTTTTCCATATTATGCCTCAAGCATTTTTACATGGTGACAGTCTGAAGTTATGGCTGTGCAAAACTCAGCTTTATAGATGTGGCTTGTAGTGCTATCGTACATTTTATCTCAAAAGGCTCACACACGAATCCTATTACAGAACATTTCCTTTTAGTGTTTGCATTACTATGCTAATGATTAATATTTGTGTTCGTATGCCTAAATCTTGTGACTAAGTGAACTGCATGACCTCCAGTTTTGTGATAATAAAATCCTTTTCAATCCTCCTACTCTGAGAAAATGAGAGCTTGCATTCTTGACAGCCCAGGCCTGATTACATCTACAGAGTCCTCAGGCACAGAGAAACGGTGTAAGATCCCGACTTACTCAGTTTCGCAGTTTGTCCAGGGACTTTGTTTCCTGAACTGTGACGCACTAAGAAGAGCTGCCCTGAGCCCTTGCTCCTCCCACCCACACAGGAAGCTGCCCTGAGCCCCCTGCCCCTCCCACCCACACAGGAAGAACACAACACAGGCTCAGTTGGCCAGAATCGAGTTTGGACCTTAACACAAAACCCACCACCTACAGAGTTTTTGTTTGTCTTTTAATTTACCAAGGACCTCATTCATGCTAGACAAATGCTGTGCTATAGATCCAATCCCCCAGCTCTAAGCAGTTTATACTCACAGTTTCTCTGAGCATCTTTTTCTTCTTTTTCAACTATAAAGACCAACACGTGGAGGAGTTAAGACTCCAGACTCAAGGAGCACCACTCATCTTCTGCAGCCAAATACTCCTCCCCAAATCTTTGTCTTGATAATTTTATGACATTTGGGTTGGCACTCACTACCCATGATCGAGTGGCCCTAGACCTAGCCTCTCTTCATCCTTGCTCTGGGTATCCTCAGAACATGTTGGCTTTACTATCTGTAGGACCTGCAGTGATGTTCTCCACCATTCCTGAGCTTAAGTTGGATTACTTACAGAAACATGGGTAACTTTTGTGCAGCTACACCAAGGAAAATGTCTCCCTCCTCCCACAATCGTGAAAGGAATTTATCCTTACGAAGAGGCAGGGCCTCCTGTGACACAGATGCTGCCTCTGGAACTCTTAAGCCCTCCCAAACAGGATTGCATGCCCAGTGGGATATCACAGGTGTTCTGATTCCATACTGCAATGACCACGTCATGACAGAGTTCCACAGCAGCGATGGAAGGACGTTCATTTTCACCAGCTTTCTCTGTGTTCATCAGTTACTCAAAGATGTGAGCTTCACTTTTCAACTTCCATTGTGTGCACTTGCTCATTTGTCTATCGGGAATACCAGGTCTTTCTGTCCCCAGACTTGTTTTTCTGTCCCTTAGACTTCTTTAGGGTATTTAGCTCTGAAGGCTTACATAGCTGCTATTATTACAGGAGGATCACGCTGTTATTTCAGGAACAGCCACGGCCTCCTTGAGACCTACACCCTCAGCTTCCTTCCATGTCCTCAGTATTCCTGTGACTAGCCAAAGGAAGCTCATCCAAGCAGGAGTGACCTGCCTTACAATTCCTATGGCTTCATGCAAGCCCAGGTTGGCCATGAACAATGGGTAAAAGCTTTAGCCGAATTTTTCCCCCTCTTCTTCAGAGGCCCCACCTTCTCTATGTGCCATCACTGGTGGTCAGCACAGCTTCCCACCTCTCTCTCTCTGCACATACCTGGCTGTCCTGAGATCTCAGTTCTCTGATGCATGAGGAAAGTGTGTCTCCTTTTCATTAGGCAAAACACCAGATTTCTCTCTTCTGTTCTAGGCCGGTGCAGGAAGTCAAATGTGAACATACCATTTTTTTTAAAAGCTTGTGTGTATGTGTGTTGGGGGTGGAGTGGGGGGAAGCTATTCCATTTGTTCTATGTGGTCTTGTTCATGCATTTTTTTCCCTCAAATATTTTTCCTCAAATCACTTCAACCCCAAGAATAATTGATTAATATAAACAACTGGTATAGTTTCATTCGAAGCAACAGCGATTTATGTATGTAAAATGCCTCATTCCTCAGCACCAGCTTAGTATAAGCAGCCAGAGCTGTTGGCAGCGCAGCTTTCCTTCAGAGCATATTGGATGCGGTGGGCGTGTGGAGAGACAATAACTTTATTTAAAACCACTGCAACTGCTGAAGAGAGTGTGTTACTTTGGTATCGTCTTAGTACAGGGTGTTTCCATCCTTCGTTCTGCCATCTTCCACCCTCCTCTGAGTTACATATAAAAGTCCATAGTCACCTTCCTCTCTGTTCTACCTTTCTAGTATGCCAAATACTTATACACATATAAGTATACAAATACTTACATGGGACCAAACAAGGTCAGGAGTTCATTGTGTATAGAAAGCAGTGAAAACAAATGTTATCAAAAGTTACTTCAAACAAACAGAAGGAATGGGCCACAGGCCACCTCCCTGCTCCTGCTTTTCTTTCTTCTTTCTTTCTTTCCTTCCTTCTTTCCTTCCTTCCTTTCTCTCTTTCTTTCTTTCATTTTTATTTAGTCACTTTACATCCCTCTCACTGCCCCTCCTCCTGGTCACCCCCTCCCACAATCCTCCCCTGAGAGGGTGGAGGCCCTCCCTGGGTATCCCCCACCCTGGCACATCAAGTCTTTGTATATCCTCTCCCACTGTGGCCAGACAAGGCAGCCCAGCTAGAACATATCCCACAGACTGGCAACAGCTTTTTCTTAGCTCCTAGTGGTTTTACCTGGAAAGTCTAAGTTAAAAATCCCAGAGGGCTCTGTCTCCCAGGAACCCTGAAAGCAGCCTACTCATCTCTTCCCGGGCTGCACTTTTTCTCTACTGTATTGCTCCACATAATCTTACCTATGCTGTATTGTTTAGGGTTGTTTTACTCCCACCAGTACGGACTTATCCCTTATATCTATATTACTGCTATCAATAGGTCTTTGGGAGAGAAGGAAAAGAAATATATGCTGAGTTTGCATCTCCCCAACTCGTTCCAGCTATCCCCGTGTCTAGGCATACGTCAGTGTTCCACCCTACTCAGACCAGCCTCTGTGCACTGGGAACACAGGCAGGCAGTACAGACTTAACAACTAAACGGCACTGTTGGTGCCTGTAAATCTAACAGCTGAAGAATATCATCAAGAAAACAAAACATAGCTTCTTCAAGCTTTCTCTCCCTAGAGAATTTGATCTTCGACTAGTTATTGGCCAGATCCTGTCAAAGTTACAGTTAAAACCAATAAACGATCATTCTGAGTTTTATATACGATGCCAGATGACCAAAAAGCAATATTCTTGAACTGTGAAAATTCTCTGCTTAGCAAAATGCCAGAAGTTAGGATGCTGTACTTTTCATGGGTTAGTAGATAGTTTTTTGTATGTGTGAGATAGTTTTTTGTATGTGTGATTTTTGCAAAGCTGTAATTGACTGTATTTCATTACAAAGTTCACCATCTTGCACACAAGAAACTGCACAGTAAATTCCACCCCCAGAACTTAGTGCTAAGAGAATTATTTCCTCTGTTTCAGGAACTGGTAAGTTCCCTTATTACAGGGATGGGAAGCAATTGGCTTTCTGCTTCTACACAACTGGTCTGACAGCTGAGGGCAGTGCTCATTTTAGTTCTTAAGAATGAAAGCATTGACCTGGGGCTTCAGTTGAATTTAGACTGTCTGCCAGACGTATCTGGGCTAAAACATTGCCTAAGCTACACTCAAAACTCTAGACAAGTCTGTACTTAATCTTTTTATTGAGACAAGATCTCCATATGTAGTCTGAAGTGGGACCTTAAGGATTCTTTGGAAAGTCAGTGTGTCGAATGGTGTTTTGCTGGGCAAGCATGTGAAGGAGTGTTTTCCTGATGTGGACACAGGTGAAAGGCTAACGCAGACTCATGAAGGAACGTTTCACTGAAGCAGACACAGGTGAGAGGATGTTCTCCTAAAGCAAACGTGTGAAAGGACACGTGATGAAGGATTCTTAGCTAACAGCACGCATGTATTGGTCCCCCTTACAGTGCATAGTTGAGCTCCATTTGTCAGGACTCCACAGAGAGAAATGCACCAAAAAAAACTCTGGTGGTGTGCTGCTGCTTCTTGCTGCTTCCGAGGACTCTGGCTGACTGGCAGAGTGCTGTCAGCTGAGACAGACTCTCATAGAGTTTTGTTAGGTCAGAGGCAAGACACATGATGAGGCAAGACTCGTGGGGGACATGTGATGTTTGGAGGGAGTACAAATAGGACTCCACGGACTGTGAGAGAGCCTTACTTGTAGAGCTAGCTGCAACGCTTCTTGGTCCCACATCTTCACTGATCTTCGCTTCACTGAGACAGGCACAGCTGAGAACTTCTCCTGGTGTCCTTGTTGGTCCTAATTCCTCCTGCTGCTAATGCGGCTGAAGCCTGTCTGTCTCTGCTAGGCTGTGCCACCACTGCTGATTCCTGTTTGCTATCCCAACTCTACCAAATTGAAGTCTGGTGTATCCATGAAGTCTTTGTGAGTGGACTGAGCTGCTGCTGACCTGTGAACTGAACTGTT